TTTTTTTTTTTTCCTAGTCTGCTGTAAGAGTGTAGTAGGTGTGTGAAAATGTACTTCAAATGTTATTTTATGGTATTCTTTTGTTCCTGGGAACCCTAGCTATACTTACTCAAACGTGGTTCCCAAGACATAGTCTTCAGGAGGGACAACTCATGAGCAACCCTGGAATTCCTAATTTATATCAGTCCACTCTTGCCGTCGTCAGCCTTGATTGCACCATTCCCAATCGGCACGGCGACATGCAACCAAATCCTCAAAGATATTCCGAGAACATTCGGAGGCGAGGTTGGGCGGCGCAGCATCTAGTCTTTCATTGGTTTCGGGAGAAGAAGCACCAGGCTCAGGAGCGAAACTTGCGATCTCAGGAGATGGAGGGACGTTGGGAGGAAGTCTCGCTTGAGCCAGCGGCAAGGCATCGCGAAAGAAGTGCCCTCGTAAGACAGGAGGTCAACTTCCTACGATCTTTACGATCACGAGAAGGGGTTGAGGACTTCACCACGCTCCGCGTGATCGGGAAGGGGGGGTTTGGAGAAATCCGATTAGTGAGACGCCAGAAAGACGGACAGTGCTACGCTCTAAAATCCCTGGTAAAGTCGGAGATGTTCAGGATGAAACAGCTTGCTCACGTGTGGGCCGAACGTGATCTGTTGGCAGACTGTAGATATAGTCCCTGGCTGGTCAAACTACATGCCGCCTTTCAAGATCATACATTCCTCCATATGTTGATGGAGTTTGTGCCCGGAGGTGATTTGATGACTCTCTTGATGAAGTATGAATTCTTCTCCGAGGAGGTTACACGTTTTTACGTCGCCGAGATCGTGATGGCTGTCGAGACCGTTCACGGCCTTGGCTTCTACCACCGGTAATGCCGACGTCGGAAATTCAATCCCCTCCTAAGCTTATCACTGACGGAGATGGTAGTGATATCAAGCCAGACAATATTCTCCTGGACCGAAAGGGACACGTTAAGCTGGCCGACTTCGGTCTGTCGACAGGTGGCCGCCCACACCACAGCAATACCTATTATCAAGCCCTACTCCCACACGATGGGCGACAGCAAGTATCAGAGGCTACCTTAGCCACATCACCCACGGAAGAAATCCGCCTGAGCTTCAGTGTTCCAAGACCGGCGGATGGTGAACACCGTTCACGCCGCCGCTTGGTGTATTCCACCGTCGGCACGCTCGACTATGTGGCCCCGGAGGTATTACTGGGCCGGGGTTATACTCACCTCTGCGACTGGTGGGGCGTGGGCGTGGTAATGTTTGAATGTCTGTTAGGCTACGGCCCTTTTCGCTGTAAGGACTATGACGGGACTGCTCGAAACATCGTGCACTGGCAGAGATCCTTGGGCTTCCCCCGCGAACGCCAGGTCGGGCGTCAGGCCGAAGATCTCATACGCAGGTAAGCGTGCCGATTGCAAATGACCGATCCGGCCCATTGAGGAGGAAGAGATGCGAGTGCTCACAAAGTTGCCATAGTCTCTTATGCGACGCGGCCGATCGACTAGGTCAGGACAGCGACTCGGCGACGGGGGCTTTTTCTGTCAAACGGCATCCCTTTCTACGAACGGTCGTCTGGGATCGCCTGCGGCAAATACAGGCACCCTTCGAGCCCACGCTCGCGTCTTCCGCCGATACGCAATACTTCCCCATGGACGAAATCTCCCAATCAAGCCAATTCACGTCACACGGAGAACCGGCTGAGCAGACGGCCCTTGCAAACGAAACGGAAAGGAGTTTAGCCTTTATAGGATACACTTACAAGTCTTTCACAGCATTTCAAGATGTGTAAAATATACAGTATACGGTCAAGGCATACCGGCGGGTTGTCTCGGCGAAGCTGGAGACCAGACTGATCGGGGAACTAGGTAGGTGCTCGAGCCGTTCGCCATATAAGTCATCTTCTTGATCGATTGCCAGGCATGGGGAAGAACATCTGTGCCAACTCAGACCCGCCCCCCTCCCAGCCGCCACAATTCTCACACCAAGGACGTCCGACCGCATTTCGAATCTTGACGGTGTGCCCGTGGGAGTGGGCCACACCTCGCCGTCAGGACGGGACCATTTCTAGGCCTTCATGGCAGTATCGGACTACTTAGCGAGGCCTCCCCCTTGCACTACGCTCGTCGCGGATGTATTCGGCTCTGCGAGGGGCCCGGGATTAAGTAGTCTCCATAGTGCAATGACATCCCCCTCGGTAGAGATGGGACGTTCTCGGAGTTTAGTCTCCGTCAGTTCAGAACACAGATACTGTAGACTCGGAGGACGAAGAGTGCAGTACTTCAAGGGCCGAGGTGTCGGACGATCATTTCTAACCGTGATGAAGTAGCTCTGAAGCTATCAATACAACCATTCAGAGAAAAAGGGTTAGGAGCTCGAGTCGCGATTTGTCGGACTCCCCCTTTCTCCAATTCCACTCACTATTTCTGCCCAATCGGGTTGAAACTCGACCTGTTAGACTCGACGAGAAGTCTACACGAAGAAGTATTCCATTTCTATAATTCAGCTGTCCTTCACCTATTTCAGTCATATTATGGGCTCGTCTCATGAGAAGGTTTAAGGATTATGGCGTGGAGATGAGGCACGATCTGATCGTCTGCCAATCACCATTCTGCCTACTTGGAAAATTGGAACTTTCTCCTCTCTCTCACTGGTGAGAAATATCACCCAGCACCTGTCGAACTAGATTGGTTCAGATGGATCCTCCAGGAGGCAAGGAAACTTTGAAGAAATCGAAAACACAAGAAACCAAGAGCCAAAAAAAA